ATTCAGCGCGTTTGCTCAGAAAAGTCTCAAAGGTAGGTTGATTTGGGTTGGGTTGGGCAAGCCTCGCGATCAAATCGACCCTTCTATTCAATTTTCACCCACTTATGTCCTTCAGAGAGGAAGCTGATCACTTTTAGCATCAATTTTTGAGAAAATGAGCTGATTTCACCTTATATTCGTTACTTATTATTGGAATTTCTTGAGAGAATTGTCTTATATGTGATGAACTATTGCCTGATATCGAACTTGCAGTGTGCAACGCAGAAAACACCTGTCCCCCAGGAGAAAAAGGTCGCGCTGGTATAGACGGTATGGACGGCATTCCTGGCGAGCCAGGTACGCCGGGAGAGCCCGGCCTCCCAGGAATCGTACCTCAGGTGCAAGTGAGCGCCAGTGGTTGCCGCGTCTGTCCACCGGGACCAAAAGGACCAATAGGTAACACAACGTTTCTTTTGATAACAAACAGCACTGGCTGAACGGTTCTTTTGCAGGATATCCTGGCCAGCCTGGACCGCAAGGATTGCCTGGAGAGGAGGGACCACAAGGAGATAGTGGACGTCCAGGAAGTGACGGAATCGCTGGACCACCTGGACCAATGGGTCCGATGGGTGAGCCTGGAAAGGACGGTGAGCAAGGTCCTCCGGGAGCAGAAGGAACGCGAGGTGAAAAAGGTCCCGTCGGGCCACCAGGACTCAAGGGAATGGTCGGTCCTCGAGGTTATCCTGGTAACTCTGGGCCACCTGGTGTATCAGGAAATGTTGGCATTATGGGAGAACCTGGACCTGAAGGAAAACCTGGTGAGGACGATATACTTTTTTACTCCTAGCTGCCTTTCCTGATAGTGTTTTTGCAGGAATGCCTGGATTCATCGGATCTGTTGGTAACTATGGTGAACCTGGACGACCAGGTGAAGACGCTGGTTACTGCCGGTGCCCGGCTAGAGCGGTTAGCAAGAAGACTACCTCGTAGAAGAACACGAACGACTAAATCCATCAATAAATATCGATCTATCAAGTTCTTGATGATGATTCCATCACGAAAGGGAACACGATTTTAAGTGCAAACTGAAAGGAAATCGAATCAATCTAAACGAAGAACCTTCATGGGACTATCATTCGCTGACTATCTAATCTTGCCATCGGTTGCTTTGGAATGCCAATCTCAAAACACTTTTAGACTTCATTTGAAGCTTGAGCAATTACCTTCACCAACAGAGCATTGTACTGTCAACTACCGTTCCTATTATAATGTTTTCCTTTTTCTTGACAATGGCTCATTACTACCGAAAACGTCTAGGCTCTAGCAGTGGTTTACATTTCAGTGCTCTAACTCGAACAGAGCAATGGAACTCGTACAAAATGACCGTCAGACCCAGAGATGTGAAGCTCCTGATTTTGTTTGACTTCTTAACATAGGGATTCTATCCAAGACGGGAAAGGAGCGTAGCAATCCATTCTATTACTTGAGCACGGCGTAACAGTAAAATGATGTGGAGATTACTTGACAACTGATAAATGAATGCCCATTCTGCCTCCCACCCGCGAAGCACCGAGTCTACTGGATAAGGGCTTGAATTTCGCGGTCGCTGTAGTCTGGAGACTTCTTTGGGGTATTCTGGAGTATTGTAAAATCTATCTGAGTCAACCTAGCCTTCTGTAGCCTTGGTAATCTTCAAAACACTTATAGAAATGCTGGATCTGTACAACAAATTTTATTTAGAAATCGCACACGTAAACAACCATGAGGAAATCGACATACATAATGGACATTCGAATTTTGAACATTGTTTTCTATAAGGGGACGATTTGAACGCAACATAGCAATTTGCACTTTTGTAAATAAAGCGTCATTTGCTTTCTTAGAATAAAACAACTACAAAATAGCAACGGGAGGCTAGATCACCTACCAAGCGCTACCTATCTACAGTACCGGTTGTGAATATAATCGTAAAAATTTTAATAAAAACATAATCTTGGCAGAACAATCGTCTGTAATAGAGAGCTTCAATGTCTTTTCTTTGTTTAAAATCAGTAAATAATCGTTGTAACCCATAAATCATAATAGTCATCTAGAATGCACCTCCCTTATACATAGTGGGGAGCTCACATGGGGACAGTAGGATAGGATGTGGGCAAGAGGTAAGGGGTGGGAGAGGGCGGCAGTAGGGAGAGAGGAAGCAGGGACTACTCTATGGATAGACTTTCTTCGTTTCCTACCACGACCAAATTCCAGAACACCTCTCCATTCAGCGAGGTTCCTCATGACCTGCTGCTTTGATTTTGGAATTCTGCCATCAGTTTGTTCGCTATCGTTTCTTCCATCTCCGTCCCTCTTCACCACCCCCTCTTTCTCGTCACTTCCCCCTCCGCTCACGGTTTCTACAAGTTGCTATAGAAGTTACAAGGACAGAAAGAGCCACGTTACTGGGATTGAAGGAAGGAAGTGGGTACTAAATAGAGGAGATTCCTCACTACTTTGATTGATTTTAATGGAATGCTGGATAGCCAGAGAATGAGATCGGAAATTGAACTGGTAGGAAGAGAGAGTGGTACCTGGTAGACTTGAATGCTTCCTTATTTGCCCATGTAACTTATTGGTATCTAGTTGCTCCCGAACTTCTTCAGTACCATCTCCGTTCGGTCCTTCAGGGGGAAAAAGAAGCAGAGTTCTTCTTTGTTCCCTCCTTTCTTCTACCCAGATGATTCGTCCTAATCTGTTGTTCCTGGTTCTCATTGAGCCACCCAGTGCCCCCGGGTACCACTCTCATGCACCGATCAAATCTCTTTTGTGGATCCTGCGACGGAATCAATTACGATATGTTGTTCCCGTCTTGAAAAAGTAATCTCATACAACCCTTGACAGACAATTTTGGGCCAAAATTCTACTTCACTAATATGAAATCAAACTATACACGTCATTGAACTATAAGGAATCGCCTTTATAGGCGGAATTATCCACACCCAGGACTGAGTCGGCTGTGTCACCCGAGGCAGTTTTCCGTCTGCCAACGTCATCGGCCTTAAAATCTTTTACAGAATTGTCATCGCTCCACGTTGCCACATCATCGACTGGGAGGCTGTCGATCGATAACGTCGGTGAATCCAACGTCTTCTTCAGCGGTTCGGTCGTGATCGTCTCCGTCTCAGGAATCACAATCACATCAGGCTAAAATCAGACGCTCAAATATCGGCATTAGGGCCGTACACACCAATCAATAACCGTATTTTACAGTAACCTTTTGATCTCCATACTGTACATTATAGTAGTCTTTTTGAGCGTCCAAAGTCAGATAGCTGTATTCTTCAGTGATTTCCTCCAGCAAAGAAGCCAGCTTCTGGCGAATTGCTGAGAAATCCGGCCGCAGTCGAGGATCCACTGTCCAGCACTCGCACATTACTTCATAGCTGGAAAAGCTTGTTGAAAATCCTAGAGAGGGGCCCAAAAATCATTAAATCAATGACTTACAAGTTTTCAGGGCAGTTATCAGGACGTTCCATTCGACCACCGTTTTCCAAAAAAGGTAGCATTTCTTCAGGAGATACAGATGGATATGGTGAACCGCCAAGGGTGATAATCTCGAACAGTAGGACACCGAAGGCCCACCTGAAGAATTTTGTGGCATTTCGAATCTGGATCTTCAGTTACATATGCCCCGAGTGCGAGAGCAGTCAAAGTCACGGTTATTAAGTAAAATGGTAAAGTAATGAAAAGGTAAATTGGAGGTAAGATAAGTAATTGGGGAAGAAGTAGGAAAAAATGTAAGGGTGAATGGGAAGAAGAATCGCTGCGTAGACATCATCAAATGGTTAGACGGCAGCAGAAGCAGCGTGAAGCAGCGTGTCCGACTTCACAATAATCTTGGAGCTACTAGTTTTGAACGAATAATTGATGTGATAGTCTAGATCACTGCAAAGGTGGTAAAGAAAACGCGAAAGTCGGCCTATTCAGAGAAACACAGGGCTTCAGAAAAGTAGCAGAATCGGGGGCTGAACGAGAAAGTGACGGAAAAATTGCACGGAAAAGGTGTTTGTTTGCTTCTAGCTTCCCAAATGTGTGCGCCATTATATACAGCTGGCTACAGTAAGCTGGAAGGTGCGTCCCAGTGCAAATGGTGCAACCTCTACATCCTCCACACAAATTAAAATTAGATCCTATTATTCTACCCTCTTATTAGAATTGAAAAGAAACTTTATTAATCAAAAACATCAGATACGAAAAGCACTTACACATCACTTTGCGCTGAGAACTCGTAATGTCGAATGGCCTCTGGTGACATCCATTTCAACGGCAAGCGTCCACCCTGAGAATTGTAATGAATTCTTGGATTGTCGTTATTTTATGTATTAGCGACCAACTAGACTAATACCACGGAACGGATCCACCTGATCCTTTCTCCCGTAAACTGTAAGGAAAACCGAGGACCACGTTGTACCTTGCTTTTGTAGAGTGAATTGTCCGCATACAAATTCCGGCAGAGACCAAAATCACCAATTTTGCAAGCGTTCTTCCCGTGGACCAGCACGTTTCGAGCTGCTACGTCTCGATGGACAAAACCTTTCGATGACAAGTATTCCTGGAATTGACGGATTGATCACCATTTTGTAAATGAATTGAAGGGTACAACAGAAAAATCGACAGCTATGGGCATTACAAAGCGAGTATAGACGTTGGATGGTAGTGCCAAGTGATTATAAGTATAAGTCAACTTCCAAATGTTCAGGATTCACTTACCAGTCCATAACTGACTTGAACGGCAAACATGAGCAGTTGTTTCAATGTGATTACCATTTCGATATCGTAACTGTTATCGATTGGCGGCTCATGATAGTTTACACCAGCTGCGTCAAGCTGAAGTATACGAACTGATTTGAAGGGCTTGCTCACTTACATAGCAAAAGGGCAGACAGACCTTCATCATATATTTACATCGTTCACGTAGAAAACGTAGCAAATCGCCGTCGCTACAGTATTCCACGATAAGGCACAGTGGTTCGGATTCTGTTATGCAGGCTATCATATTCACCAATCTAAACGGTACTGTTAAAAAAAGAATAGAGAACGAACTATTATCTGACTTTTCCGGGGTCGCTGCCATTGTTTTACCTGCCTCCCTCACTACGCCAAGAAGAACGACTCGTAGGTGCGCGTAAAATCAATATCCACTCTCAAGCACTACCTTAAGCCCCGTCATTCAAGATTCGAAAAAAGGGTCAATGAGCTTAATAAATAGTAAAAGACAAAACTGATCAGTTGAAAAATTTTACCTTTCATGGTATCCAAGTATTTTCATAAGCCCAATTTCTCTAAGAAAATCACTTCGGGACATTTCATCGGCGTACTCAGGTAACATTTTTACAGCAACCTGAAAAACGGATAGGACTAAACTCGCAGCTTGCACTTCCTTAGTGACATTTTTGACTCACCTGACAATTTTCCGCCCTCATGAGATTGACTCCCAGAGGTGAAATTGAGTCTTTGTGTGCCAACGACTTGCCGAGAAGCTTTCCTGAAAACCACATATATTATCGGTTTTCAGTCTTGGAGTGAGCTGAAGAATGATCGGGATGGTTGGGCGAAACGGTGCAACCCAAAGCCGAACTCCCTTCACTACCCCAATCTCCTCCTCCTCTCTCACCCTCACTCCACTTCCTCCCTCTCCCAATCAGATCGAAAAGTCTCCGGTCGTAATTCGGAATCTCGCAATTAGGGCGTAGTGTGGGACAACTTCCACTCTTACCGATCGATTACCTATACCTATGAGACCGCACAGCTTTTGCTTCTCTGGTTCAAAAATTATTCTCAAAATGCTTTGCATTCAGCTGATTTGGGTGCTCAGAAGCCATTGCTTCAGATGACCATAAGAAGTGTGCTGATAAAAATGTAGGGGCATAAAAACTACAATTCTGGGAAGGAGCTCTAGATGACTACATACCAAGATAAACAGCGCCAAAAGCTCCAGATCCGAGTTTGAATTCATCGAATATTATCAGATTACGTCGCTCGATTTCCCAGATGTCGTGCCTGAAATTCAAGCAACTCCTTCTTAGAACTTTGATCCTCAGTGTGGGAGGGGAAGCTGCAGTACTTCTAGGGTATGTGCATTTCTACATTCTACATTTGACAGTTCAGTCACTGTTGAAAAATATTGAACAGAAATGGAAAAGGGGATGGTTTTGCAGCAAACATTATGTCACATACATTTTCGGGAGATCGGCATAACGACATTCCTTTTGACGTTCCAGCTGGGCGAGTTTCAGTTGGTACAGCTTGTTCTCCTGCTTTTGCTTTCTGTTGATGTAACAACAGATGCCAATGATGGCAAAAATCAGAAGGGCTATTGCTCCGATAACAATTCCGATGATCATTGCTGTTTTACTGTTAGCCTGATCTGAAAAAAAATGTTGGAATTCATTTTCATAATTCAATGAATGGAACTGAAAAAGCCATGTATTACAGACTTCCGGGTAGAATCGCTTCTGAAACAGCCGCTGGCGACATGAACTTAAGGGAGTGTCTTTCAATATTCACTTAAGTGAAGCCATTTTCTCAAAAATGTTTAAAACAGCCCTTACTTACTCGTCATAGGAAATAGTGTAGTTTCACCGGCTCAAAACCAGATGCAACAATCGATTTATTGATTGAATCATTGAAGCTTTATTAGACTTCATCCACATCCCACAAGAGAACTTTCTCAGTGAACGGCGAAAGCAGTGTTTCCAACACAAAGTAAGAAAAGTAAAAGGTAAAAAGGGGAAAAAAGAAGAACAGCTCGAATAAGTCATCGAACAATTGCTGTGAAGGTTCCACGGATTAATTTACATGCATGAAACTCCGACCACAAAAGTCTTGGTTTTCATTTTTCGGAAATATTTTCAAAGGATCTTATAGGCATGCGTGCGACTAGGCCCGAAACATCGGTATTGAACTACGTCATTGAAGCGACCTCTCAGTGATTAGCAGAAACCCATTGGAAAAAAAGGTTCTTGGTTCATCCTAAGCCTCACCGAATGCAATCGTCCCCATGGTATCAGTTTTTTTGGGATTCTTTCGGGTCCATTTATTAGTACGAAAATCCTGTTCCCGTGAGAGTTTTATGAGAATGTATGCCCTCATGAACAAATTCATTTACAGAGAAAAGTTTCCTGTCCCTACCTTGAGAACAGAAACAAAAAGGAATGTGTCGAGCCCCCATCTTTGAATAAGTGTACATCTCACCCGCAAAGTTGACGTAGATTTTATTGGCTCGTGGTCGGACCGATCGACTGCTTTCCGTCAGGTTTGGTAAAGTGAGATTTCGAGGATCTTTTACAGCACAAAACGTAATTCCGTACAGCTTATCGTAGTGGATTCCACTCACGTTTACACTGTTACCAGTATTGTGCTGGAAAGGCTTTCTNCCTCATGAACAAATTCATTTACAGAAAATAGTTTTCTGCCTCTACCTTGAGAACAGAAACAAAAAGGAATGTGCCGAGCCCCCATCTTTGAATAAGTGTACATCTCACCCGCAAAGTTGACGTAGATCTTATTGGCTCGTGGTCGAACCGATCGACTGCTTTCCGTCAGATTGGGTAAAGTGAGATTTCGAGGATCCTTCACAGCACAAAACGTAATTCCGTACAGCTTATCGTAGTGGATTCCACTCACGTTTACACTGTTACCAGTATTGTGCTGGAAAGGCTTTCTTTGTTCAGAACCACCAACAAATTATGGTTATGATGGCCTACCAAACAGAATCCGTTCTGGTCGAACTGTAAGCAGTTGGTGGTGCTTCCTAACACTCTCGTCATATTCACGCCAGCTAGTGCCTCCTGAAAGCAGAAAAGAAATGATTGAATGGCTGGATACTAGGTTTTTTTTCACGAAAATCTCCCAGATAGTTACTCCGCTCAGTTGCACGTAAGGGGGTGAGGGAAGAGAAGGCGTTGTAGAAGAGGGGGTTAGGCCTTGAGTTCGGCCTGGTGCAATGTCTTCCAGCCCACATCTTCTATATTTTTAGAAGGTGAGTACGAGTTTGGACGAGTTCCTACTTTAACCCAATTTGTATTACTTCATCTTACCTCCTCTTTCCGTGAGTACGGTAGAGCTTCACCATAATACGCCTGGTAGTAGATGGTCGGCATCTCGTTATCCCTCACTATTGGATCAAATGTGACGTTTAGACTCAGACTGTAGTACTTGTCGCCTGGTGCGATGTACTTCTTCAATATCTGGAACCCACGGATTACTTCGAAAAATTCTAAGTATTAATAAAATAAATTATAGTGATAGTAGATAATTATATATAAAATGTGAAAAATGCCCTTAAAAAAGGATTTTTGTCAATCTAAATATAAGTAGAATTTATTTTGGAACTACTAAAATTTCATATAGCAGTTATCGATAATTACTGATAATTATAATCTCTTATAGTAAATAATAACAATAATAATAGTAATAGTAATAATAATAAATAATAATGATAAAAAGGATAAAGTTTTTGGCGTTAATCAATCCCGTCCGAGGGATGTGCCCCCGCACTCGACATTCAGAATCGTAGTGGCGTAATGAGTGCGTAGAGTGCGTATGTGGCCTATACAATGAATTGCGGTGGCCAGCCGATGTACAAGTCAGTGCTTTTGTCCTCCCAGACGAGTCTGGTACCAATTCACCGACCCCGTGGAGATGGAGGGCTTGGTTGGCCTGGGCGGGCATCGATCCGGGATTCGAACCCCTGACCGTGCATGTGATACAGTGCGCCACTTGCCACTACACCACCTCCACCCAATAATGATATGATCAAAAAAAATAACAACTCAATAACGACTATCATCCTTCCCTCAAATCAGAATAAATTTTCAATTTCATCGAGAGGACTAATTCTTCAAGCACAAATTGAAATTAACAGATCAAACAATAATAACATAAATCAATGGAAAACATAACAGACAAATAAATAAATAGTGAACAAAGGAGCAATTACATAAAGTAAATAAAAGTAATAATTAATAACAAAATGTGATTGAGAAAAACTGACGAAATTCAAATGGATATTATTTCTGAACAAAGTTCATTATCTCGAAGATAATAATTTATATTATGATTAATATTTATTTTATTTTTATTAATTAATATAATTTTTATAATTTTAATTATTTATTTTTAACTTTTAGTGAAATTAAACGTACCGTATAATCGATATCGTTGATTTGACCACAAATGGGAGCTTGATAGATGTCAACCCTGACGCACGGATTGCCCTCAACCGTGTCGCAGTCTAGAAGTGATACTGTGAGCTTTCGGAACAACCCTAATTCAAGTCAAACCAGAGAGCGGACAGGGAATTTGGAGAAAATCGTTGAAGTAACACTTTCGGAAATACCGTACCTATAGCAACATGATTGAATTTCAAGGTTAGGTAAAAGAGCAAATCAGGTGTGGTCTTTTCGAGTTGAGGGCAAAATCTCAGCCTCGGACCGAACTCGAAACCCTACTCGTGTTTTCCTGGTACAGCGCTCTTTACCGGTAGTGTACGGGAAGGAGCACAATGCCCGCAAGGCACAAATATGGGTTCACAGGTTCGAGTCCCGTCCGAGGCCGGAGCCCATGACTCGTAAGGCCTTCACATCGTGTACTGCGGCAAAAAAACAGCAGTTAACAAAAGATCAACACGGAATAAGTTCTCAAAGTCAGGTAAAAAAATGAAAAATGTTTTCCCAGTAACTTACTGATTGCAAGCGTTTGCAGATCTTGAGTGGGTGGTGTCCGAATTTCTGTTTGTGTAGCACATCTTCGGCTCGAGATGCTCTGAGCATAGTAGACGAACCGGCATTTTCGATACATCATATCCGAACCCAAACGGCCAACCAAAGTGTTCGGAAGCGTACCTCTCGTCTAAAATCTCTACCATTACGTTCAGCCCCTCAGTTTTCTGCCTCATGACATCTACCAACTAATAAAACCTACAAATTCTGGGAGAGGTACTCCTTGGGACAGATCCGGCTCGGCGCATGTGATTAAATGGAACATTGGTACCACATCCAAATCCTTCTCTCCGAGTGGCCATGCTAAAAAAAAGAGTAATAATCAGAGAATCAGAGAAAGAGCCAATTGTCATACCTCCAGCCTCGTACTTGAAGGTAACTTCAATGGTCCCATTCGCCGAATAGAATTCATTCTTGAGCGGTGTACTCTGAAACCGATTGTACTACTTGGGTTATTGACCTGGGCTTGATTAGTTTTTATTGCAAGTCAGCAGAATGGGACCAGGCATATGGCCTCACTCGGATATCACCTTTACCGGTACTACATTCCTAAGATTTCTCTAGTTAGTGAATAATTTACTCGCGAAAATAATAAACTCCTCATTATTTGTTTTTCAGAGCTTTTTTTCAGGTAATAAGGAGGCTTTGCACAGAAACCCGAGTTAAATCGAAAATTTTGAAAGGAGTATGAATCCGTCATGGTGCCTGTGGGCGACCTCGGGAGCTCGTGATGCCAGATAACTCAGTCAGTGGCAGAACGTAGCAACATAGAACTCTTCACGAAAGGGTCGTGTTACAAAATAGAGTCACTTTAGAGTTGGAGGTTATAAGAAATCAAGGAAAATTGCTACGTAAATGAAACCAGCTGACCAAGTACACCATATGTAGGAGCTGTAGCTTTGCGCTGACCCGTGGCTGTGGCGAGTTCACTGTGTAAGGATCGGACAGAGGGCTGACACCATCCGACGAAACTGCCGAGACCCTGAAATATCCTATGGGTGAACCTATTAACCTATCAAATGCCCTATAAGAGGTACAGAAGGGTGCGACAGAAATCCAGGCAAGCAAAAATAACAATTATAAAGGGAAGGAAAGAAAAGTAAGGAGCAGGTTACCGAATAGACAATGGATCACAGAACATCGGAGCTGGCTTTTGAAAATTCGAGAAAGACGGTTGTATGGTTACCTGAATGTCATAACTACAATTAATTGTTGTTGTCTGCCATGATCAACTATTTGCCACTCATTTTAAGGCTACCGGTATGGTAATAAGGAAAAGGCTCGGGCTGGAAAATCACATAGTTTGATAAGATCTCCATAAACTGGCGTTAAACTGCACTTAGTGGAGGCTAAGGTGCCGAAATTGAAAAAATTCAGCTGTATATGAATTTGATTCAAGGACCAATCTAACCTAAGGTCTAAGGTAAGCCAAATTCTCTGACTGGAAGCTAACCCAGTCTATGCTCAACACTACTTCCCATCCGCTTTGCTGAACCTGACCCACAACACAACCTCTAGGATCCTTTTAAATGCTCTCTCCTTCTTTCCGAAAAAACAGTAATGGATTTCATACTTGCTAACCATAAAGTATGATTACCTGAAATTGAGAGACTGTAAAGTCGGCCGCATTGAGTTCTTTGAACTGAACAACATAGAACGTGGCGCCATGAACCTCATCGAATTCAACGATCGACGATAGATTATGCTCTTCCGTATGAAAACCACTCGTTACCGGAATCGGCTTCTGTGGACCCAAGTCGCGACATCGATCCCAGCATGGCCTGTCTTCAAGTTTCTGGAATAAGTCTGATTGAAAATGGGCGAAGGTGATGTGGTGGCAAGCGGCGCCTTATCACACAAGCATAGTCTAGGGATCAGATCCCGTTCCGGCGCACCCAAACAAATCAAGGGTGGGTTGGATGCCACTAGACTCGCTGAAGTAAAAGCATTGGATTCTTCGTTGGTCTGGGTCATAAAAACATAGACTGCCATTCCGATAAAAAGGGAGGAAATGGAGCGACTGATGGGATGCGCCATGTAATTAACCATTTATCGGAATCGAAAAGACCGATGACTGTTCACATGAGTACTTATGAAACGCTTCTACGTAGGGACAGTAACTTTACCCCTAAGGATGTCAATCTCCAGAAAAAATTGTTACAACACCCGGCTTGAGAGGACGGGGATAGGGAAACAAACTCGTTGAGATTCGATCTCCGCCACGTATCTGCACCATTAGCTAATATGCCACTTGCTACGACTCTTGCGTATGAAGCTAGGCAACAGCACCGATTCGGGCCTACTCGTAGAGGGAAAACATAGGGGAAAACATGAAAAACTTCAAACCGTTCCTTAAAAAAAGCTAAAAAACAAGAAAAAAAGTAAATGGCGGTTTACATTGACAAATTGATACAAACCGCACTAATAATGAATGTGGAAAGGAATGTGTACGGTACCACGACGTCCCCAGTTGTGCAGAACTTCAAAAATGCTGGTTCTGCAACTAGCAACCAACCCAGGTTGGCCTGCAGGGGACGTTTGGTAGGATACATTCGAACGAGATACGAAAAAAGTAAAACTCACACAAAGTTGGGGATTATTGTAGGCAGTGCAGTTCGATAGGCAGTCATTAATGTCTTCATTCTGAAAACAACAAATTTCTATCAAAAAAAAATACAGAGCCTGAGCCTATACTAGTTTTTCTAGAAATGCCCCTCATTGTAGTGCTAGAAGAACGAAAGACCTAATCAATCCGCTTTTATCCCAAATGGCATTTTTGTACGTACTTCTACTGTCTCGCGAAATGGTTCACGTCAGTAGAAACTAATCAATCACCTCTTCTGTTAACTTACCCGGTTTCCGTTGAGACATTTGGCTGAACAACGAAACCAGCATTTCTGTGCATCTGGAAGATCATCGGCTTCGATCGAAATTGGTAAGTACAGTAGTAGTATAATTAACAGAATCATCGAGAATTGGAACCCATAAGGTCGCCAGTGACCTGAAAACCCCACATAACACAAAAAAAAACAAAAATAATAAAAAGTTAATGGTAACACATTTAGATCAATACAGAGGAAAGGAATACAAAAAAACGTTTTTTCTAACTCAAATTCAGTCGTGACTGAGAAAAATCGAGGTGGTCAAGTGAATCGCAAAGGTAAAAATACTATCCGGCCTCGGACGCGCGCGGCTGCGGTGCGCTGTACTCGATAGCAACTATTTACAGAAAATCTACCTCTATTCCCTACTCTTCACCCAAAAAAGGCAACGTGTGTGCTCTAGTAATATCAGAAATAAAGCAAAAGCGATTGAAAGAGTCGTAGGAAACTTTGTGGCCAAAGATATCATACCTGAGTGAAAACGGAACAACGACACCACAAGGTTCAGTTGATTCGTGTTGGGATTGGGAACGATGATTCACCTGAAATTTATTTAAACTGGATTATATCTCTCAATGGACTTAATTGTGTCCCGAATTGGTCGGTAATCATCAAAAAAGGGACTTTTGCAGAAATGAATGTGAAATTGGATCGAAAATGGCTTGGGCTCTTCAAAAACGAATTGACGAGAGAGCGCGAAGAGGAGGAGTTCGTCGAAAACAACAAGGTCAAATAAAACAGTGCAAACACAATTGAATTCGGCAACGAAAAAGACACTTTTACGGACTTTTCAGCAATCGAACAGATTATAAATATGACTGCCAACTGTTGTCCTTTGATGTATGTCTCGATCAGAATTCAGAAATTTCTCGAAAAGGGAGTTGGAATGAAAATAGAAAGGTGCCGAAATGTTTTTATTTAGATGTTGATTTGGAAAAATAGAAAGAAACATAAATATTTTGAATGAGCTCGAAAAACAAAGATTGTGCTGCTCATAAATCCAGATGTATTTATAGCTTTTGAGAGCAAGACAATTGGCATTTAGATGATTATTAGGGCTTCGGAATGCGCCACGCACTCTGCAGTCTCACTGGTAACTACTGAATTCTTCGCACACGGCCTAGAAGCTAGTCAAAGCCGGATTGCTTTGAGGCATTCCAGAAAAAACCAGACCGACATCAGTTAAGCTACGGTGCATTGATGGAAAACGTGTTTGGCTTTGAACATTGATTGATCTAGTAGCCACTTCCACGATAGTATAGACTCCTCCGCCCATTAGTGGAAGTAAAAAGTAAAACAAATAGTGATGGAAAGGGCAACGATGGTTTCAATGTAAAACGTTTCGCCAGAAATCTATAGGGAGAAAAATGAAAATTAGCTAAAAATGATGAGAAACTGCAAGAAATGCCGTTGAGGATCACTAGACCGGTGGCAAAGAAGGCTTTCAACCGCTCCGTTCCATGAGGATTCGAGGAGTGGCTGAGTCCCTATGGAATGAGTTGGCCTGCTCAGAACATGCCATGAAGTCTATTACGACTCAGAACCACAGAAATGTCATTCATATACCTTCGATTCAGAAAAATATTAAGGTTGATAATGGAAAAATCATGGATTGGCTTGGTGTAATACTTTGAAACTTCAATTTGAGAGAAAAATATGAATTGCTGGAATTCTAAATAAAATGAGCTAGACTTGGTGGAGCATCATTCCTCTCTCATACGTCATGTACTCTCTTTTGTCTTCTGACTCCAATTGCACCTATGAGGGCCATTCAGCTCGAAGTTTACTACAGTGAAGAAGATTTTCCTTTGATCCGATCTGAACTAAGTCACTGCGAACAAAATTGCTAACCAAAGTCGCAACGCCTCCCTAGCCTGGAAACTACGAAAAGATGCGGTCTGGCTAGGAGAAACCACCTATCTCTTTCGAAGATCTGTCGCTTCGTAGCACTCTGAGCAGACGAGAGACAGTAGATTATTGATTGATTGGGTACTTTGTTAAACTTTTGGGACTCAAAGGATGCATGGAAGGTCTGTGGGCGTACTGAAGGAAATGTATGGGAGGCTAGAACTTAATAAAATCATGAAGCTCGATTAATACGGAATGTTTTAAAAAGAAAAACCATATGAGAAAGGAACCAAAAACCGTGTGAGAAAAGCTCTCACAAAACCTTCGTAATCTACAGTAACGGAAAAGCAAATCATTTATGAATCAGAGAAAGTCGATAAATCGATTGATAGACGTAACATCACGTAATCTGCTAATGAAATCCTCATGTATGCATGCGCATGCATACGTGTGTGTGTTTTCGACGAAGAAATGACGAAGGTGATGGCAAAGAAGAGCGTACGGACACGAACAGAAACGGGTTTCGAGGTGGGCAAGATGGTTTCACTCCTTACAATTAGATGAAATCGCCAAAGACAATCTGACTCAAGTGTTTTATAGCGAGTAATTTCACAAGATGGTCATTGATAAAGTAAAACAAATTCGAAGCATTTTGTTTCAAAATGGTGAGCTCGTATTGCGAATGATGACATTGACAGATGGATTCGGCAGTTATGTCTGCCGAGCGAAGGAAAAGGGAAAAGTTTGGTCGAAGAAAGAAGGATGGTCGAGTCCCTAACTCCCCGTCAAACATAGTCACGCTCAGGTAGGGATGGTGTAGTAGCGAGCGAGCCACTGTCACACACACAGGTTAGTGGATCGAATCCCAGGTCGGAAATCGCCTGGACGAACCAGGCTTTACCCACCCCCTCCCCATCCCTCCGCGTTCAGCTNCCCCCCCCCCCCCCCCCCCCCCCCCCTCGCTGCGTTCGGCTGATTGGCATCAGACTAGTCTTGGAGGATGAATGCACTGGCTTGTACATCGGCTGGCCACCGCAACTAATTGCATAGACTCCATACGCACTCATTACGTCACCACGATTCTGGATGGAAGTCGACTGCTTGGCACATCCCACAACGGAATCGGAATCGATTGACGCCCGAAGACTTTGCCCTACTTCATTCTTTCATCCGATTATAATACTAACAGTACGGTAACATAGAAGTACTGTCATGGCTTTGTGAGCATGTGGGGCGGTTCAATTGCAATCTGAAGACCCT